AACCAAGAGGACAGATAAAGGGTAGGGCAGTGGATGTTGTCTATATGAACTTTAAGGCCTTTGACAAGGTCCCACATGGCATGCTAGTCAATGAAAGTTAAGTTGCATGGAATCCAGGGAGAGCTAGCTAACTGGATACAAAGTTGGCTCGATGGTAGGAAGTAGAGGGTGACGGCTGAAGGTTGTTTCTCAGACTTAAGGCCTGTGACTAGTGGTGCACCACAGGGGTCAGTGTTGGGACCTTTGTTATTTGTTATTTACATGAATGATCTTGGTGTCAATGTATAAGGCATGATTAGTAAGTTTGTGGATGATACAAAATTAGGAGGTATCGTTGACAGCAAAGAAGGTTATCAAAAATTAGAGGGATCTTGATCAGATGGGGAAGTGGGCTGAGGATTGGCAAATGCAATTCAATACAGTTAAGTGTGAGGTGTTGCACTTTGGAAAGTCAAACCAAGGTTGGACTTGTACAGTAAATTGTAAGGTGCCAAGCAGTGGTGTGGAACAGAAGGGCCTAGGAATACAAGTACATTGTTCGTTCAAAGCAGCATCACAGATGGACAGGGTGGTGATGGCGGCATTTAGCACGCTGGCTTTCATCGGTCGAGGCATTGAGTATGGGACGTTATGTTACAATTGTATAACTAGTTGGTGAGGCCACACGGTGTATTGTGTACAGTTTGTCATCCTGTTATAGGAAAGACAGTTAAATTGGACAGCGTGCAAAGATGATTAACAAGGATGTTGCCAGGAGTTATAGGGAAAGGATAGGACTTTATTCCTTGGAATGTAGGAGAATGAGGGCTGACCTAATTGAGGTGTATAAAATCATGAGGGGCATAGATAGGATGAATGCATATAGTCTTTTCCCCCAGGGATGGGGAATTGAAATCTAGAGGCATAAGGTTAAAGGTGAGAAAGAAAAGATTTATAAAGACCTGAAGGGCAACTTCTTCATACAGAGAGTGGTGTATATATGGAATGGGCTGCCAGAGAGTGGTCAAGGCAGGTACAATAGCAACATTTATAAAAACATTTGGATAGGTACATAGGTGAGAAGGGTTTAGAGGGATATGGACCAAATGCAGGCAATTAGAACTAGCTGAGCGGGCACCATGGACCAGTTTGGACCAAAGGGCCTGTTTCCATACTACTCTATGGCTCTAATAATACCACTAGGCCATGCTGTATTTATTTGCTTTTTTAATTACTCTGAATTTGTGTAGATTTACATTGATGAAAAAGGGAATGTACAGAAGCAGACAGACATTGTCTCTATTCCCACTGCACTCCCATCCTATCGTCCATAAAGCAATAGGCATGTCTAGCTCCCTTTTGGCACCATCAATTCCCTGTACTTTTTAGGTTAGTACTTCATAGCTTTAAACTAACTAGCACAATACTATCCAACATTTGCAACATAGATTTCTCTCTTTTTGGAAGTTCTCTTGCACTGTCAGGATAGTAGTACGTCAGTACAATATAAATGTTTAAGAATCCAATAGAGCCAGTACAAAAGTATTTTTTAAATGCTGGACTACCAAGATAGAGACAGTAATTCTCTTACAATGTTTTTGACAGATCTGCAAGCCTTAAAGTTAATTGACTCCAAGTTAGTAAATAAAATTTTGATGCTGATATACCAGTATGCAGTAATAATTATGCAAATCAGCAACAATATATGCTTTTGGAAACCAACCTCATGCAACGATATTTTATGCCACAAGCCAGGAAACATGCCTGCACTGTTCACAAACCTGCTACATTCTTAAAATGACCAATCAGAACCTCAATTTCATAAAACATAGCTTGTGGAATACAGCAGAAGGGATTGATAACGTGCACTTTAATATTTTATTCCAAGGTGGCTAGTTCAAATTTCTGACTATGCAAGTTGCAAAGACTGCAAGAGCCAAGGCTGCCTGATGGTTACACATAATAGAACTGAAAGGAAGGAACACTTTGGACTATTTGCTTAAGTGTTCTCCCAACCCAATCAAACCCGACACTGTAAAAACAAAAGGTCCAGCAACATGTCAATTTTCCTTCTTTGTCAGTAAAAGATGGGGTGCTGGATACCAAGTTGGAAGTGAGCTAGAAGAGAAATTGTGGAAATGACAGTTTAAAAAAATGCCTAATTCAGAATTAGTTTGTAATGACCATTACCTTAAAAAAACTTGCACGTCACCAAGCCCCAGGAGTAGAAAGCTATATCTAAATTTAGATTCACCAAAAACCAGATGATGATTGTACTAATGAAATCAATCTCATTGTTAAATGCAGAAGAAAATTCCTTGTATTCCAAAAATGAGTCACTACCAAGATCAAGCTAATTTTAACTTTTTCCACACAGGTGCATTTTGCTTACGAGTTGGTGGAATGTGTTTCACCATTGCAGCTCAGGATGAGGCACTGTTGAAATGGTTGAACTGCATTAACCTCAAGCGAAGGGGAAACAGAAAAGAAAACTGCACAAGCAGGAATGGAGAGGAAAGATGAGCATTCAAAGCAGGCGATTCTCGGAAGCATCGATCTACGGCACTATCACAATCTCCTCTCTCACGTCACCTGGTTCTAGATGTAGAATAGGAAAGCGTGTATAGAAATAGGCTCTCTGAAAGCTTTTTATCTCTGCAACAGACACAGAGACATCAAGACAAAAATAAGAAAAAATCCTTTAAAAAAAATCTAACAATGAAATCTACAAAGATACACAAGATTTGGTCTCCTTAGGCACTTAAACAATTGTTAAATGAGTCATTTAGCAATTATAGCATAGACTGATTCTTCAGAAGTAGGTGCTGAGTGCAGATCAAGTGTTCCTCTGAAGAGTGAGGCAGGGAATAATCAAAAGACAGAAATGTCACTCATCAATTCTTTATGTCAAGTTACTGAGCAGCATTAACAGAGGCCAGTAGGTAGATCATCTGTCCGTCTTGAGCAAGTACGCTATTGTGGATTTGTAAAAGGGCAGGTAAAGCTAAAGATGAAATATTTTTCTACAGTAAAAGGTTATTTCTTCCATTTTACAAGTGATACAGCTTCCAACACAAATAGCTTGAGTCAAAATGCAAGAAAAATCTCCATGTGCTACTTTACTAGCCTGACAGCAGTGGTCAGGAAAGCACTGGTATCTAATAGTGAGGAGGTTTTAAAAATGCATTGAGAAAATCATGAAATAATCAAGAGAAAGTCAACAGTATTATGGAAAGGAAACTCGCCAAATATTAAATTTTAAAAAAAGAATATGTAACAAATAGTGCAACAAAGAGAAACCAGCAGACATAGCATACTTGCATTTCTGAAAAGGTGCCATATAAAACAATAATGTGCAATTTAAAAGCTCATGGACAAGGGACTGGTTAACAGACCTGCATTAGAAACAGTAGACAGGTTGCAGCTAATGGAGTGGCAAAAAGATCAAGGCTAGGACCTCAGCTATTAACTTATGATAAAGACTTAGAAATAATACACTGTCATCCAAGTGTGCTAACTATTCAAAGCTAGGTGGAAACACAAGCTGTGACAACAGGTTGCAAAAAGAGATATAGACAAATTTAATAAATATTCAATAAGGTAGGTAGTTAGAATTGAATGTGACTGAAAGGGGTTGTTCACTTTGATCACAAAAATGAAAAAAGCAAATTTTAGAAAAAGTTATAATCTAAAATAAGATACGAAACTCGTAAATGCTGATATTGAGTCAGAGTTATGTAGTCGTACAGGTAATCCAAAAAGTTACCAAGCTGCAACAGAAATTGGGAAGACAAACGGAATGTTGGCCTTCATTGGTCCAAGATAAAGGAAATCTGACAATTTTGTGTGGCTTTGGTGGGAGTACAAGGTGAGTGCTTCATGCAGCTTGACCTCCATCTTTAACAGATATAATACTGTCGCATTAAAGGTAATACAGCAAATATTCCCTTCATTGGTCCATGGGATAACGGTTGTTTTATGATGACAGGCTGAAAAAAAATTGGTGTATTCTCTAGAGTTTAAAATGGGAGCTGATCTCATTTGAAATATGCAAGACCCTGAAGAGGTTTGACAAAGTAAAGGCAGAGCTTGCTATCACTGGATAAGAAAGTCAAATCACGGGGACACAGTCTCAAAATAAGATATTAATAATTTAGGACGGAGAAAAGGTTTATTCGTTCAAAGGATCATAAATGTTTGGAATTATCTACCCTAGAGTTTTGTGAATGCTTCATTGTTGAATATATTTAAGGCTAAGACAGGTTGAATTTTGTTTCTCAGGAAACTTAGTGACATGGATAATGGACACGAAGGTGGAGCTGAAGTTGAGGATCAGCTATCATACTGAATGGCTGAGTAAGTTCAATGGACTATATGGTCTGAATGGTAGCGCAAGTTCAATGTGCCATATAGCTTACCCTATTTCTTGTATGTCCTTATGCGAAGTAACTAAACCCAAGAAATTTCAAACAATAAAAGGATATATTCCATGTGGAAGGAAAATGATCCTTCTTGTATTCTACCAAACCACTATTTTTCCATGCTGATTTCTGTAATACGCAAAAGTCTAAATGGCAACGGTGAATATGGGATGAGACATTTCACTACTCAAATTTACTAATCACAGTTTAGCTAACCGATTTTCTAAGCAAATTTAAAATTTCTTCTAAGTAACTGAAACTCACCTGAAGCCAAAAGAGGATTGAATTGTTCCATCTGCAAGAGGGTGGCAATTTATGGCTAGCACATTTCCATTACATGAACTAAATCAAGGCAGAGTTGCATACTATGGATAAGTCTGTGCTGGACCCTTGCAATCTTAAGTGTTATAATTAGGTACACTGAAAACTTTCAAAATTTAGAGTTTGACAAGTGACTGGAATACCAAATTAAAATTTGCCGATGCTAAAATGTGTTGCTTTCTAGATTCAGAGAAATATGCGCCAGACCTTGCTCTGCATAAAAAAATCTGAAATCAAAAGCAACATATGAGATAGTCCAAGTTATTCATTTTTACATACCATCCCTCCAGAGATCAGCTATAAACTTATCAGAAGACTGATGCAGTAAGGTGGCGATGTTATCGTTCAGGGGGTCCATATTTTTCATCAGCCATTCATTTGCTTTGTAGTCCACCTGCATTGAAAAGAGGCATTATTCAATAAATTCCTGCACAGTGAATCAAATGTCATCATTATATATTTGAGTGAGTCCTGGTTATGAAGTTTGGAGCATGTAGATTTTGCTTATGGTATGTGTAGATAGCACATGCTAAAGTAAAAAGAATAAAAACAGTTCAAAAAAAAAATAGGAGTTAAAATGACTGGACTACCTTATGCACTCATCATAATTCTTTTAGATAAACTACATAAATGACAGTCCATCAAGTTCTGAATCAGCTTACTTTTCCAGCATAATGAATAATGCAGAAGTCAGCTTTGTCTTTCAGCTGCTTAGGTTTCTGGAACTTAGGATGGGTTCCCTGCTCCTGCACCACTTTCTCCACAAATGACTTGTCAGTGGCTTTCGGGAACCAGCACTCTTCATCAAGCAGAGCAAGAATACCTGGAGGGCTAGCCTGAAAAATATTTTTTAAAAAAATAGTAAGCTCCAATATAGTTCTGGGAAGCAAATTAACTGAAAGCGCTAAGGAAACAAAGACTTACAGATTTTTCAATTAGGTCAATGCAAGGTTGCAAGTCAAGGCCAAAATCAATAAAGTTCCATTCAATTCCTTCTCGCTGATATTCTTCTTGCTCCAGGATAAACATTGTGTGATTAAAGAGCTGTTGCAGCTTTTCATTTGTGTAGTTAATGCACAACTGTTCAAAGGAGTTCAGCTGCAAAAGCATAGAAGATAAAGTTACTGGAAGGGGGCAAGAATTAGATAGTACCACACAACAATTTTTGGGTTTTGGTGAATATTCACTAAACACAAAGCACCTTCTTTCTTAGTTAAGATCGGCAAAATTCCTGCCTTGTTTTGTTCTTGAAGGATCTCACCATTAGCTAGTCAGACAATGTTAACATTACAACCTCAGTCAGAAATCACACAATATCGGGTTCTAGTCCAAAGGGTTTATTTGAAATCACAAGTTTCAGAGCGCTGCTCCTTTATCAGGTGAAGTGGAAGGAAGCACGCAGTCACAGAATTATA